AAAGAATTACAATCAGACTTCAGAAAAATATCTAAAACTCGTTGATATTCCCTTAAAGGTTAGTGATTATTACTATTATTTTTCAGATTTATAATCCCAAATGATGATTACGCAAAATGATATTTTTATAATTAGATTAAGTGAGTATCCATAGCTATATAGGCACAGGTTTAATTGGACATATTAATTCTTTAGACACATAAAGGTGGATCTTAATTATGGTTTATAAAGAAAAAATATAGTATTCATGTATATTATCAATTGTATGCAGGCTATATATAGTTAATGATTTACTTGAAATATGTTGATAGATGTGTGCACATAATTCTAATATCAAAAGATTAACTACATTAATACTAATATAAGGCTTTTGCGCTAGTTTGATAATGCATACGAAGGTGTAAATAGTCTTTAAAGTATCAAAAAATCAAAATAGGAAGAACCGCTCACTAAGAATGAAATCAAGACGAACTTGCGTGTGTTGAAAACCAATCTTAAAAACAGTAAAGCTCTATACGCTATCACTTCCGTAAATATTTAAAAAAAAAAATGCTTCAGATTTATCATGACACATTCTATTTGCTAGTCAAGTGATTTGTGCAGATTTAGAAATAGTGAGAACTTTAGAAGTAGATGCATATAACTTTTTTATAATGAGTAATTTAGTAAATAGTGTTTTATATTGCCATACTCCACTTTTAGCAAAGAGTATCATATTAATATTGTGATCCCATAGAATTCGGCAGAGCATATGAAAGTAACTGCTTCAGACCTTATCAAAAATAATTATGATTCCTTCATTTTGAATTTTATAGACAGTATTACAGATGTCTCAAATAATAGACTTTTACATGATAAAAGTTAAAAAGAATCTAACGAAAAACTAGTAAAAATTACATTAGGTATACTTAATATCTTGTGAGTATTTCAATAATAAGAGTCTTAATAATCATATTTACCATTTCTTAAAATTTCTGTTTGAAATTATGTTTAACATTATTTTTTATAGAAGAGATATTTAAAAAAAATCCTGCTTTCAGTCTAAAGCTGGTTAAGTCACAAAGTGAAAGGACATATATAATTGATGTAATAGTTCTGATGATTCGAGTATCATTAAAAGATCTTCCAATTGGAAAATCTGATTATATTTTTATAGTCAAGTGTCAAAGTATAGCTAGCAAAGATCGAAAAGGAGTTGAAAAATGACCAGATGTTATGTTCATTACTAGTTGTAATAATAGGTCATATAAATTAATTTATAGTAAAAGTTCTCATACCATTTATAATGTACAAAAAAAGAAAAATGATAGAGTAAAAACTTGGAAAGAGATGAATAATAGAATGTATTAGGCTCACAAAAGATGCAAGCCCGATAAAGATAATTTTGGTATTATTAGGATTCAAATCACCAGAACTGAGATGCATCTAAATATTCTCATTCGAGATATAGATGAGATATATCATTTCTATAATTTGTGTACAATTAAAATTTCGATATAGCAAACAGATGAAAATATGGTATTTAAATTTGTTGAAACTTTATTGACAATATAGGTATGTGAAATACAATTCTTATATTTCACTTGCTTAAAATTAATATATACTTATAATTATAGAATATCTTGCACATTAATATATCTCTTCTGTATTATATGTTTTTAACTAATTCAAGTAGTAATATAGAAAATAGCTCTACAGTATCTTCTCTATCAAGATCATCATCACCACTAAAAATGAATAAAAGAAAGTCTATAAAATTTGAAAAAAAAATAATCTAATTATTATTTGTATTACTATTTCAATAAAGTGCTCTGGTGGCTGATTATTTTTGAAATTTCATGAAATTTCATTTTTTTTATGCAATATATAAATATATAATGGCATTTAACCAGATATATTCTGATTTTCTAACAAAATTACCAGCTTCCTTATTAAATAAAACATAGATACATCTCACATTATGGAAGCGTAATCCATTATTTAAGAAAGAAGCTAGTGAAATTAATTCAATTATAAAGTTATTTTTAAAACATAAAGCTATTAGATACCAAAAGAGATTAATATATCAGAGATGAACCCAAAGTTGATCAGAGTGTCAGACATCTTTATCTTTCAAAGAAATATCAACTATATACATTATAGATAATGAGTTCCAAATTGATAATATCACTTGATTGAGCCAGACGTTAAAGCATGATCATGAAGAAGAGAATAATCGCTAAGTTATTAATGAGCTTAAAGTATTATCTTAATACCTGCTCAATTATAATAAATGAACTTTTGAGAAATTTATGCATGACATAGAAAAGAAATATAGAGAGTGGGTTAATACAAATAAGAAAATGCGCTATGAAATCAAAAATCTGAAGATGCAAGTGCTAAAGATGGAAAAAGAGCTGGCATCTATAAAGTTGGATTCTCACTAAGAAGTGGCATATTCCAGCTGAAACGTACTCTATGTGGATGTTCATAAGGTACAGTTAAATTAAAAACAATGACTTTTTGCTTACATAAATGTTTATCAATAATTTTAATCATACTACACCAGTCATTAGCGTATTAACACACAATTCTGTCTAGCTCATCTCTAATGCATGACCTGTTAAATAGGCAGACACATGTAAGATTTTTTCATATTATCTTTGGACAATTAAAGTAACTCTGCAATACATATATCAAACTGACATTGTAATGACATCCTTCAATGAAATAATGAATAATTTTCTCTTGCACTTTTTCAGATCAGCACATATATCTTTGAAAATAGTCGCTGTATCTCTATCTGAAGAAAATGAATTCACCTTAGGGATTTTATCAGACTTCAAAGCCTGAAATAAAATATTTTCATGATATAGCTTTAGACTATTTGCAATTATCTGAAATGCTGATTTGAGATACATATATTTCAGCTTCTTGAGTTAGTGACTGATGAGTAATAAATCATCACATTTGATATAGCATGTCCCTTCTTTCTTCTTATTAAATATTCGATAAAGCTTATTTTCAAGCATGAGATTAAGAATCTCATTAGTTTTTCCTGAATTAGTATGACTACAGATTAGTAAAATAAAAGGCTATTGAAGAACACTTGAATGTCTATTATATCGTTTAGCATCTTTAATCTCATTAATATAGTATACAAGCCTATTAACTGGTTTGAGTTTTTTATTTTTATGGTAAGCTAACTATTAATAATGATATACTAAAAAATATCAGACTGATTTATCAGTCTTCTCTTTTTATTCCTTTGTTTTATCTAAGACTCCTTTCTCGATTAGTGTATATCTAATGAACAGATATAAATCTTCTATATGAAGCACTTTAATAAGGCATATATCTTGATCCTTACATTTATCCCGCTTTTTCTGATTGCGCATATTTTGTGATTTTAGATTTTTATTCTTCCAGTGATAGAAGCTGTTGTGATAATAGTGTTAAGGACCTTAGAATTCGAATGCAAGATACAATTCCTTATTATATCTATTCAAGTGTAGCCCATTTAAGAACTTAACTTTATATGGTAGAAATTTCTTGCCTAGCAGATCCTCAAAATGTATTGGCAATTTCTTTCTCTAGTGTGTTGATATAGTGGACATCATTTGAATTTTTTCATAATATATTTTAGTAGATACTTCTACTGATGTACACCATTTTCACAAGACTAAAAATATATATTATGACCATTTATTCGTCCAATTCTTCCTAGACATTAACTATTATGCTTCTTAACATATTTCTCAGCTTGATCCCGATCCTTTGTCAGACCCTCTATCTCTCCATTAGTAACATAAGCAATATGCATATATAATATACTTTGGGGTGAATAACCAACCTTTTCTAGATCAACTATTAATATAAGTTCTTCTCATACAAATCTGCAAGATGGTATATATTTTTCATCAAGATAATATAAAACTGGCTCATTCTTTATAACAACAACTTTTCAGATTTTATGAAGATTTGGGCTAAATATAAGGTCAGTTATACGCTTTTGATTCTCTATTCCACCCTTCCATTCTGCATTGACAAGAAAATAGCAGACTATGTCTCCTTTCTTTAATCTTATTTTATCTTTTCTAATCAGACACTTATATTTTGTAAATAGTCTAGATTCTACTTGTTCTAATATAATAACTTTTACTGGTTTAAGTCCTCACTTTTCTGATGTTAGTTCTCGAATAAGACACATAGGATAATTATTTAGGTAATCAATAACTACTGGTATATATCTAACCTATGCTCTTATTAATTGAGGATTAGAAGATATCAATTCAACAGCATACTGCATCTTATATAGAATTTTTGAGAGTGTCTGATTAAAATGCTCTACAAAGGCAAGTCCCATAACTATATGGACCAATCACCTAAATTGTAATATTATACTCTTGTATTAGACAGGAAGTCTTACCTATAAATTTACGACCTTCGTCACATTGTAGAAGCTTTGGCCAGATCAATAGATTATTTTGAATACTATATACCTTCCTAAATGCTTTAGTAACCTCTGAGCTATTCTTTAATGTAAGCGAGACAGAAGCCTTATATCAGGAAGTGTAGTCTATAATGTTAAGTACTGCTTTATATTTTTTACTTTTATAGTAATCATGAGTGAGAAATAATATATAGCACTGGTGTACACAATTGAGATGTGTTATTCATTCATAATTGACTTTAGGAATGTATTTTAGGGAGGTTTTATTAGTTTGGTATGACTCTTGATTCTTTAAAAAATCTTTGCATTCACTTAGAGGGAAATCGATGTCTTCTTTTTTACACGCATTTCTTAGAGATTTGAGATTAGAATAATATCCAGTCAGATGATAATATATTTCACACAATATAATATTATTTTCAATTCTCTGAATCTCATCAGGATCTATTTGGATTGTAGGAATCCTTGCTTCTTTACTCATCCTTTTTGAGAAGATCAGATATCAGAAGAATTATACAAGCTTCATAAAGAAATATTTTGGCTAAAAAATAGGATTAGTGATCTTATTATGACCTCATTGAGTAATATACCTGGTTCTAGAGAGACCTCTTCAATACCATTAACAAGAGATTCTTTATCGTACTCATCGTCTTCATCATCATTAGATCATAATCAACCTTTATCGAGCAATATAACTTCTAGCTCATCAGGTACATCAGAAATACAAGATTATATATATAGAATAGATGAATATGAAAAAATTAATTATTATGTTATCTGGATAAACCGTTTAAAATGAGTAAAACGTACTGCTAATAATGAAATAAATTTACACAAAGTTCAGGATTGGTTAAAAAATCTTGAAGACAATTTTTTACAAACTGAAAGAATAATAGCTGAGCATGATAGAGAATTACAAGATATCCAAAATGCTTTAGAAAATGCGGAAACTCTAAATAAAATATTATAAAAGGATCTTGTTAGAATAACAGAAAAGTGATAACTTCTCTAGTGAGAGAGTTTCTATTAAAACATTACAAGAAGAATTTAACCGATCTATTAAGCATCGTTACAGTTTGAGTAAAAAACTTGATGAGAATTTATTGGCTAGTATTTTATCTTTAATACTACCTCCAGTAGAGCCAGAAAAAAACTTATCTCTCTAAGAGGTTCGCTGATTATTAGAGAAAAAGCATAAGAAAACTTTAAAGACTATAGACCTTGCTAATACTACAGAAAAACGAGTTCAAGAATTAACACGAGTTATATAGTGAAAGTCCTTTTCCTCCTTCTAAAATGTCAAGTTCTTATTTAGAATTTGATGATGAAATTTTAAGTAATTTAGGAGATAATACTGTTAATGTGTAATTCTTATGAACTACGACTGTTAGACAGGATGTTTAAGTGGTTTATTCTTTTTAATTGAACAGTAATCTTTCAACAGTTTACGAGTTTTATTTTAGACTAATTATCAAAAGTGTTTATACTATTACGATGAGTAGTGATTCAACAGATTGCCAGTGATTTGTATTTGTAAAATAATATGTTTATTCATGAGTAAAATAATAAAATAAGAGAGAAGAAGAGAAACAAAAGAAAATAAAGAAATAAAATAAGAAAAGAAAAGAGATGGAATACTAAAACTAGAATGTAACGTGGTAGGCCAGTTACCTTTAAAACTACTGAAACTAACTTGTCAATTTTCTATCTGTCTGTCCTTTTTACATGAACTAAAAAGCTATCTTATTTATATAAAATAAATTACATAAAGAGATATAACTAACATGTTTACTATATTAACTATATCTAATATGTCAATTATATCTAATATGTCAGCTATGTCTAATATGTCAGTTATTTCACATATGTCTGACATGTCGTATATATTGATTATATTAAATTAGTCAATCTTCTACATCACATAAGTTATGTCACATTTACCCATTCACAATACTAATGTTTTGAAAGATTCTATGCCTGATTTTCCATTCTATGATAAAGATATAGGAGCTACTAATGATCGGCTAAAAGAGGAGAAAGCTAGATTACTTTAAGAAAATACTTACCTTATTTTTATTTCTCGATTTCAGATCTACAAGGCTAGGACAGCATAAGATTTATGATTAATACAAGAAGAGATAATCGACAACTGAATGCTCAACTGCATGAATATTAAGGTAATAGAAAGATACTAGAATATAATTGAGATTGGATTTTGATAGATATAAGAAATGGAAAAATAAACACATGAAGAACGTCAAATAATATTTAATTTACAGGAAGAAATTTTAGCATTATAGAATAATTCATTAAATATATCAGGAATAATAGAATACTGACCCCTAATATTTTATGGTCATTCTAGAAAGGATCTAGAAGATTAGCTTAGGGACATGCAAAGATATATAATAGTTAGTCGAATAAATATTGCACCTAGTACAGGTCAAGTTGCTAGAAGAGAAGAGACATTTGGATTAGTAGTATTATATCTTGTAGGTGATACATTGAATTTTTATTTAACTCGCATTAAAGGTAAAAATTGGAGATGTAATAATCTTTCAGACAACTTAGGTATAGCAGACTTAAATGCTGATTAAGCAATAGGAGTTGGAAATGGTGGTAATTAAATTGGTAGTTTAAATACTGCTGGAGAATTTCAAGGTAAAGTAGGAGCTAAAATTAGTAGAATTGGAGCAGAGATCACAACTGATGCTGATATTATTCTGAATGAAATGTGGGATAAAGACTGGTCTATAGCTGATGGCGAATCTGTAGATAATGCACCAGTAGCATCTAATGCTGAAGTTAGTCTTCCTGCTATTACTATTACTTCTGATATTAAACTTGATCAACTTCTTTACCTGTTTAAAACTGCTTATACAATAGTTGAGCATTTAAAACAAACAGCAGTATTTGGTCAACTCATACAGGGTAATTTGTCAGTTGAGCAATTCTCCACTAGAATTAAAAGATTGGTAAATTAACTGAAATAACTCCTAAACAGCAAAGAGAGCAATTTATTTGTGGTCTGTCTCCAATGAATCAATATAATCTTCGAATGATGGCTAAATTTTATGATACCCAAGATAATATTACAGAAGCATTGGCTGAAGTGGAAAAATTTACATTATCTCAACAGAGTGCATCATCTTCTTTTCCAATTTTTCTAGTGGTCAATCTATATGCAGATACTAACAGATCAGGAATGACTAAAAATGAAATCGAGAGCTTAGTAAAAAATACAATAGCATCCTCAAAACCTCAACAGCTTCAATAAGTGGTTTCATCACAATTCTAACTATATCCTGCAGGAATGCATAAAAATTTACAAGATAAAAATATAGGTAGATTTTTATTATGAATTATAGAAGAAATCCTAGAATTTGTTCCTGTTCCTAATTCTACTTTGTCACTAAAGTTAAAGAAAAAGGTTAAAGTTGATTCTGATGATGAACTTGTTGAGCTTACAAAAAACAGTTAAACTTACATTTGGCTAGAGCCATTAAAAAGATCATAAAATCACAATATGAATGTTCTATCTGTGATAAAACTGGATATAATTCTCGCAAATGCTCTCGAAAGAAGAAAAAGAAAAATAAGAAATCTAAAAAAGGTAAGGTTAATCTTGCTTTAGATTTAAATTCAGATTTGAATTCAGATTCTTTCTCAAACAATACCACATCTAGTGATAGTTCTGATTCTGATTTTTCTGATTCTGAAGATGAGTTTAATATTAATATGATTAAGACAAAAAAAAGTGAAGCAGAAGTTTAGCTCTAAGAAATCGTCCTCAAAGAAGCAGTCTAAGAAAAAATCTAAGTCACATAAATCTGTTAAGCAAACTGACAAGACAGATATTGAAAAGCCTGTAGTTAGTTCTGGTAATGCTAAACAAAGTAGGCAAAGTAAACAAAGCACTTTAGAGGATACAATTTATAAGATTATTTAAAGTGAACTTAAATTAATTTTTCTCGCACTTATTACACAAGTTTCTAAAACTGATGTATTAAAACAAGCATTTCTTATTTAGAAAAAGATAGAGTTTCAGAGCGATGAGATCTCAATTACCAAAGATATATTACCAGATCTAGAGAAAGAAGAATATTTAGATGATCCAATGGAGATTGATTTTGTTCAGAAAAAGAAGCTGAAAATAAGCATTGCAACTGTAGAGTGTAAAATCAAGCATTTAAAGATCCCTGCTATGACTCTTGATTCTGAAGTAGAGCCTCCTATTATAACAGAAAATATTATTGAGCATGTAGGGGTTGAAAATGATAAATCTGAAACACATGATCTCAATAGTATTGCTACAGTTCTAATTGAATCTGTTGGAGTTATTTGTAATTTGCAAATTACTCTTACCTCTGGATGTACTATCTATGAAGATTTTGTTGTTGTGAGATATCACAAGCTTATGCTAATATTTTTTAATCAACTTTTAAAAAAGTACAAATATGCAATAGATTGGAATACCAATAAGCTAAAGATCTCCCTTAATAGAAAAGATTATATTTTTCCAATCACTATACATAAAGTCAAGAATAAGCTCAAGGTGAATTGTGCAATCACTACTTCTGAATGTGACAATTTCTCGACTTTAGATAGAATTTTGCGAGACTTACAGGACTTAAGTGAGAATAATAATGCATTAAAAAAAATGAGTTATGCTTTAACGTCTTCGACTGAGAGTATAGCAATTTGTATAAAAGAACTTGAGAAAAAGCTTTCTATTATTCTCAAGTTCAATGTGAAAATCAATGAGTTTTGTAATTGTTTTCTTAGGGAATAGGCAAGTTATTTTCAGGATAACGCTTCTTTTTTACATCTAAAATTTTTATGTTTTTTTCAACCATCTTCTCATAGAATGCATCCAAATTTACATTATTTGTATCCTTCTTTGAAGCCTAGATTGGCTGAGTCTAAATATTAGATAGTATTAGCAAGGCCAACACAGACTTCGATTTCTTTCCTCCAGTCTTTTTCACCTTATCGCCTAAAATAATACTCCCTTTTAAAGCCAAATCAGTAGACTCACTAGGCTCGATCTTAACATTGCATATCTTTTTTTCCAATTCTGTAAAGGGGATATATTTTGGCCATGTATATCTGACTCAGTCTGTTCTATCTTATTAGTCTAAGAATTCTCATCCAAAATAGGCTGACCAAAGGAAGATGAAATAACCTCTTGCTGAAGGCATTCTTTATTTTCCCATATTTCATAAACACGCTTAGATTTAATATGGAATTTAATAGCCATTTTTTTTGATGCATTAGGTATCTTACTTCTGGATTCTCTAATTTTCTTTATATCAGCTTCTGATTACAAGGTTGTCTTAGCATCATAAAATGTATCATAGATACAGGCTACCATTTTTTCTAGATTTTATATATTAGAAAAAAGAATATTAATACTCTTCAATAAATATTAATGCATATCAATGGATGCATATTAATACTTTTTTAATATATATTAATATTTTTCAATGTGTATTAATACTCTTCAATATATTTTAATGCCTACTAATGCATATTAATATATTGTCACCGTGAAATTCTTTAGCTCAGGGTGGTCACGTTATCAAGTCTCTACTCGAAATTTCTAACTGCGGTCTACTGCGATTAAGACGTTAAGATCCGCCTAACTCTTAATTTTACTAAATTTACGCGTTAGACTTAAATAAATTTATCAAGTATGAAGACTTGAAAGACGAGATTATGAAAAATTTAATTAAAGAATTCAGATGACGAACTCAATTACAAATAATGTGTAAGGATCACGTCAGACTATATGAAGATACGAAGAGGCAGAAAGATATAAGTTTTAAATGATTCCTTTATTAATATTGAAACTCATATTCGCAAAAGAGTTAATTTACAACATAAGCAAAAAGTCTATCTATT